TTCAAGCAGATGATTACATTATTTTCCTTGATAATCTTTTAATTTATTAGTCTCACTTATTTTCTTAAGAAACTCTGTGGCTGTAAGTGTTAGGAAAATATAGCAGGAAATCCATGGTAGAGCACTTACAATACTTAAAAGTTACCAATTTGAGAAAATCTAAATGTTTATTATAGGAAAATGCACTCTGATAAATTTTAGTTTATGAGAGTGAAATCTCATGTTGTAAAGAAAATATTTTTATTTTTAACTTTACCACTGAAAAATATCAGCAAACACTCTAGCAAGATATGAAATAAACCTCACATATTCTTAAGCATAGTCTGAGTGAAATGAAAGAAATCTATTTCTGAGCATACACATTTATTATGATAAAAGCCCAGAAAATTAATTCAGAGATTATTTTTGTAGGAGCTTCAATCAATAGGTGGTATCACCTAAGGGATTCACCCTTTTTTCTCTATTAAACGGTATGGAACAATTTTGGATTTACTTTCCACTATAGCCAATAAGTGAATGTAAATTTATATTGTTGTATTTAGTTCAAATCACTAATTGCTTGAAAAAGCCTTTAATCAATATTTTGTGATATTTAACAAATTGAAAATAACAATTTTTTCATTGAGGTGGTGGAAGGATCAACAGGTGAAAGGCTATGAAATAGGTTAGGTTTCAGGGTGGACTTCTTGCTTTGGAAAAAAATTGTCTGGTGCCTTTAGAAGAGCTTTAATTGTGAGAATTGCATCCAGAATCTCCTTGGCTCCATTGAATCAGCTGACTGTTTCCAGCCCCTGTCCACACTTTACTGTCTTTATTGTAATTCAATAAAGCTCTGCCAGGGAGCAGTACCCTTCTGTCACTGCCATTTTGTCTAGGCCTTGAAAAAAAAAAAAAAAAAAAAAAAAAAAAAAATCTGTGGGTTAAAATGTTCTGTTTCCTTCCCACACAGACAGGGACAGGGACTGGGACAGAGTTCAGTGCTACTGATAAAATGTTTTTATTTCTTTATTAGTTGAAGTAAGAGGAAAAATCTTCCATCATCATCAATTGCTTACTATATGTATTGTCACAGGCAAGAAACACACTGTTACTAATTTTAGTTTGCTTTGTTAATCTCATTTTACAGTTGATAGCTCACAAATGTGACTGCCTACTGTGATATGACCGAGGTCTCATGAAGTAAGATCCTACCGGGACTCTGCTGCATAAAATGTGCTGTACAGCTCAAAGCATATGAAATATTTGAAATCACAATACCTCTTCAGTTCAGTTTAAATAAATTATCCTGGTTGCTTAGGGGAAATCAGGAAAGTCCAGAGAAAAGGAAAGTGTGGGGAAAACTGGGCTCCAGGATGGTTTGGATGAATGGAGACAATCTCTGAAGGTTGCTCTTAGAATATCAGGTTTATTATAGATGGTGAAACGTCTTGCTTGGAGCTGCCAGAGGCAGCACGTGGCAAGGCTTGAGGGAATGGGGGAGTGGAGAGACAAGGGGTAGAGGGAGACAAGAGGGTGCTCCAGGAGTGGGTGGAAGTTCCAAGGGAGTGGGGGTTCCAAGAGAGCGTCTGGCTTCTCGGAGACCCCTTATCAGGGGGCTTCAAGGTGGGCTGGAACAAGATTTGGGCCAATGGGGTTACAGACACTTGATGTTTCAGGGAAGGGTTACAGGTGTGGGATGAACCATACATTTTGGGGGTTGAGATAGAACAGTCCATTTGACTTTTGGATCTATCTGTAGGTAAGGACATTGTCCAACCAGTAGGGGGGATTTTTTTCATCCTGGCTGTACTATTGTAAATCTTTTGCCAGGCAATCGTATTTACTCATCCTCCCCAACAGGAAAGTGTTTGGAATGCTGAATTCTAAAGGATGAAACAATGATATGATCCCAATGATGAGATTCCCATAGTCAATGTGAATCTCATCATTTCAGCCTATTTAGGGTCAGTGATTTTCCCTCTCATTAGGTGGCAGTATGACAAACAATAGTTCAGTCTTCTGTTCTTCAGGCGATTATAGTTACTCTGTTCCTAGTTGCCATATTTGTAAGGAAAAAATGCAAGAGGAAAATTTTTAGGTGCTATGTGAGATTCTATATAGTCCCTTTTCTTTTTATGGTCTCTCATTTCTTATATCCGTGCATTATTTGTTATGGTAAAATTAATTATGTATCAGGAAGTTTAATCTGTTAATTAGACTGTGTATACATGACATTTATTGTAATGGTTTGAAATACTTTTGAAAACATGGCCAGGACTCTTTTCATAACATAACTCTGAACTTAAACTACATTTTTGTTGCCCTTTTGTGATTCTGTCTAACTTTCTTTAGTACCTCAATAGAATATTCTTTGTGAAATACAAAATAAAATCAACAACCAATAATTTGTGATAAAGAACAGTCTTGTGGAATTGAAAAACAGAAAATCTAATGTTATCTGGTGATTTACTCCCACAGTAAGAGAAAAAAAATGTGTGCACTGTATGATTTTTTTTTGGTGAATTTGACAAGTTCCATACCAAACCTTATGCAACTAGAGAAAAGGAGATTCAAAAATCCAAACATCCACCCTTATAGACTGCTTCCTCTCCTATGTATCATATGTTCTATACCCCATATGCTTCCCATATTCCATTCATTTTCTCACTCATCCACGCAGTAGCTATATTCATACCAAATAAAGCTCTTAAATAATGGGCACAGACAAAGACTGAGAATTGGAAACTAGTAGGGAAAAAAAAAAATCCTTTTCGCACTATGCTTCCTTTAGTGAACACAGAAAAATATCTGCTCCCAGCTTAAGGCAATGCATTTACCAGTGTTCCTTTATTTCCCCAGGAGACATACTTAATTCTCCAGAAAGCCATTTGGGGCAGGTAGACTGCATTTTCTTAACCCTCCAGAGATTTAAGAAAATATACATGGACACTTTTTTCCTAATTTAGACACTTAGGTTTGTGTATCTCACAATCATGGAATAATTTAGAAAGAATTTCTAAAAGTCATTTAGTCTAAGACCTCACTTCAAGCAGCATCAAACAGATCAACGTTAAGAAGCTTGAGTTTAAAATACCTCACCCTCAGGGATGAAGATTCCATTCCCAGCCTCTATGGGAGACTGTCTCAGTTTTTGCTTATTCTAGTGGTGAAAAACTTTACCCTGGTATCTGATTTATTTTTTCCTAATCAGAGGAATATCAGAGTTTTTGCTATTGCAGTTTCTGTCCTCCAGAGCTTCTTGTGCATCACTACACATCTCCAAGAAGAGTCTATCTCTCTTCTCTGCATAAAACTTCATTAATATTTTCCTAAGCCTGATCTTAACACTGCTCAAACTCAGGTATCAGCCTCTTAAACATTTTGTGTTCCATACTCCAAATCATTGTGATACTTCTCTGACATATCCATTCCAGCACATCCAGCACCAGGGAATAAAAACTGGACACAGTACTCCAAAAGCAGACTCACAACCACCAAATAGCAGGGAATAATAACTTTTCTTGACCTGCAAGAAACACTGCTCCTGCAAAGGTATTTTCTGCACTCCATGACTTGCAGGTCCTTTTCTCACATCATTACATAGTCTCTGGTGTCCTTAGATGATACAAATGCATTTTCAAATGAGGTCTAGGAAACAACTGGAAGGTAAAGTATAAGAATATGGTATGTCAAGTAGTGTTTATCTGCAGTGACTTACACATGTCACACAAAAGGTGAGAGTATGTAATCTCAGTTATACCTTCTAGCAATAAAAATTAATACCTTATTATGGTATTAGTATCTCCAGTATCTTGTTTTCTATTTAATATCTAAGCTACTTGTAAGAATTATAGTATCTCAATGTCCTTAATTTCATTAGAGTGTACACGCCTTTGCTTTGGTATATGCCTCCAGTCATTAAAGAAAAGTGGTTGAATATAGACCATTTCTGTGGCAAACATAAGGTTTGTTGGCTGCAATGTTCCCACTGAGATAGAAAGTACTTAAGTAGAATTTCTTAAGAATGGGGTAGGTAGTATACTGGCTACTGTGCAAATGTTTAACATTTCAGAATATTTCATTTTGTTTCAAAGTTTTCAATGTTTCTACAAAGTAAATTCTTTTTTAAGATAAGTGAGAGGGAATCTATAGCTTAAGAAAAACAAATTACCCAGGACCGTCCTTCTCATTTAATTTGTGAAATTTATATCGAAAATTCAAAGCATACTCTATCTTCAAACAACTTGTGTCCTATGAGTTTTGCTTTTGTGTATGCACAACAGATTATAGAGAAATTCTGATATAGAGATAAACCCATGAAATAAATTATCATAGTTTTTCCATTAAGTAGAAAGAAATAACAGAAATAAATACTAATGTGACATTCTTTTTTATCTCTGTCACTCAATTTTTTTCATCTTGTTTTTTCTATAAGAAAAATTCAGAGAGTATAAGAAAAGATAGTGTTGTGCTGCAAATATTTTTTGAAAGGACTTTCCTGGAAAAAATCACTTTTATCTTGTAATTATGATCTATCTCAACGGTGTATTTATTTTCAGATAAAATTAGTAAAATTTAGGGAAATAAGATTTTTTTTCCCCCAATAACTCCCAAAAAAGTATTTAACAACAGCACTCTGTTTGAATGTGTTTTTGTTGGATTTTTTCTTTAGTTTTGTTTTTTGTTGTTGTTGCTGTTGTTGTTGTTTTATGATAGCAACTTTCTATCTGTTTGCACTTCTGGTATTTTGAGAAGCAACCTGTAGTTTTTCATGCCTTTGAAAGGCATGTCTTATATAACTTATATTGAAAGGAATGAATAGATGTTAAATAAAAATGCATTCTAATTTTAAATCTATTTTTCTTGAATCCCTTTGTATGCTCTCTTCTTATTTATTTCAAGACTATTTATTCTGGAAAAAAGTAGGACATCACTTGTCTTCTGCTGAAGATGTAATCCGTACTTCATGTTACCTATAATCATCAAACCATACTATAAAAATATCTGCAAGCACAGCTTACCTCAGAGTAGCTGAGACCCATTTTTGTGTGTCTTGAAGGTAATCTTATTTGACATTTTCTCCACAGTTAAAAATTCCCAGTAAAGTACAGCGCAGCACTAGTGTGTCAGAAAAAAAACCACAAACACCTGACACCTAAGTGTCTTGATCACCTTGATGTTAAAAGTAAAGCTCTCCAATAAAGTCAGATGCAGCTGATCTATCAACCTCTGAAGATCTGGGACATTTTCACAGAGAACTGCTAAACTCTTGATGTCTTTGCTTTGATTGCCTTCTTCCTCTCCTTATTTTTTCACAGGGTCTTAACAGAGGAGAGAAAAGGGTCAGGCAGGATAAAACAAAAAAATAATTCAGTGGAGCTGTATCCTGCCCTGCCACAGGCTCTTTTCCCAGAGCAGCAGGTTTTCCATCCACTATGCCAACATGGCCAGAAGAGACAATCAAACCTTTTATGCTTGATAGGCCAGCAGACTGGCTGGTTCTTTTGCAATTTCTATGGGAAACAACTCAAACTTGGAAAGAAAACAAGACTCCTATCCTAAAAAATCTCATTCACTATTGTTCTTCTTCAATTAAAGAAATATTAATCAAATTAAAACATTCCTACAGCATGAAGTACAGAAATTACATCAACTTCAAAATATTCAATTGCTGACTTAAGCAGTCTGTGAACAATAGATTGTCTGTTAACTCTTCATGAGTCTTCAATGGTGTCTACTTCATGGCTCAAAAAGAAGTACTTAACATCATTTTTAAAAATAACACAGTAATTCCTTGTGGAAATAAACTGTACTCCACAAACTGTAACCTAAGAATTTGAATCTGATCATCTCAGTACCATTTTATAGTGTAATAAAGAAATAAAGAGCTAATGGATGTAGTATGGATGTAGAAGGAATCACTTTTTTTAACATGTGATGTAGAGATGTTACTTATACATAAAATACATTGACACAGTGTCATGGTTTGACGCTGGCACAATGCCAGCGCCTCATGAAAATACAACTTACCAATCAAATGCTGTGAAATGTGATCAAGAACAGAGCAAAGCAGGCCAAACTTAATAACAAAAGAAAAAGCTTTATTACACTACTACTACTACTACTATAAAAGGAAAAGAAAGGAAAGGAAAAAAAACACACACAATTCGAAATGAAAACCTTCCAAAACATTTTTCCTCCCTCCACCCAACTCCACCAAACCCCAGCGAGACTCATTTGGATCCTTAATTAAGTTTTCACCCTTCAATATAATCAATACTGAGTCTATCGGGGAAGAGAGGAGTCCCCCTTGCACCATAGACTCCTAGGAAACACAACTGCCACCTTTTGTGTTTCCAATGTCACACGTGGCACCGTTTAGACCGGCCAATGTGACACTCTTTTCTCTATGTCTCAGTGCTCTTACCACCGGGCATGGACAGAGACTGCTTATAGGGCCCTTTTAAGGATGCTTTGCCAAGGACCACCAGGAACAACAGTCTAGTATTACAATTTGGGACTAGAGTCCCCCCCATTTTCCCCTGGGGCTGAGGGTCTAAAAGACAGAGATCGCTTTCTCTTCTTCCTGAAGATGGAGGGCATCTTCACACCTTCTTCAGCTCTCTCTCTGTCTACTCCAAACTGGTAGTTGCTGCAGAAGGTTTTTTGGCTCAACCAATGCATCTCCCTAAAATGCAGTCCCTCTTGAAAGAAAGAGTGGTTCAGTCTATGGTAAACAAGCAGAGTCTAGCTAAAGGCTACTCTATCATCTGCTCCCAACCTTCTTCTCTGAACATCTGAGGTTTCAAGCTGTCTTTCTTTTTTTCAAATTCAGGAGGAGCAATATTTCATAAAGCCTTCATAACACAAGAAAGGGTTAAAATTTCCGGACTCCCCGGACGGCTGCAATCTCAGTCCAGGACTCTTTTTCTAATCTCCCACGCTGGGCATTTCCCCCCCCCTTCTCCTTCTCTTCCGTCGGCAAACTTCTAGGTGTCTGCTGGCTCTCTATCTCTTTTCCCTCTGGCTTGGGGGGGGAACAAAAACATCTCAGATGTTCTCCACTCTTCCATCTGCAGGAGCTGACCCAGCCGGTTCCGATCTTTTACCTCCTGGCCTACCTCTGCAGGCCGCATGGCTCCCCTCCCCCACCCAGCCCGGGCTGGGCAGGGGAGAGGTCCGTCCCATGCGGTGACCGGAACCAAAGAAGGACGAGTTTTCCTGGGAGTTTCGCTTTTAACCCCTCTGTGTTCTCAGAGGCGTGTCCACCTTCAATTGGTCACTCCAAGTGTCAGTATCTAAACCTGACCTCTGACTGGTGAACTTCTTCCTTCTAAAAAAAAAATTCTCTTCCCGTGTCAAACCATGACACACAGTTTTCAAGTCAAGACAGCTGAATCATGCAGAGATGGTGCATCATCCTCAGTGTCTTATATATATATTGAGGAAATACTGCACTTAGAACTCCATACAGAAATGGTGTTGATTTATTTAAGTTTCATCTTCACTTGAAAGTTTTTTGAGTTTAATATTTCATTCCCAAGAAAGGTCGTGAAATGGTTCAGAACACTAATTATTATAAACCACTGTTTTCAAAACTATAGTATATATTTAATAAAGTAATTAATGTATAGTTTTTTTATTCTACATTATGAGAGCACTCATTAAAAATGTCACAGTACATAAAGTTGCTTTTTCCTAGGATCAATTACAGTACAGGCAGTCATAAGAGGTAGGCTGTGATGACAGACATCCAATCAGCAGAAGACTGCAGTGGTAAAATCACTAAACGCAAGAATTTATAGTCTCAATTTTTTTTCCCTTCCAATGCTTCAGGAAAAAATCATCAGTGAGAGGAAAACTCTGTAAAAATATTATCAGAGGAAAATACTTATAAATAAAAGATCAATTGAACAGGAAAAATACATTTGGAAACCAGAATGCTACTAACCCTCTAAGGCATGTGTGTACATGTATATAGCTCATACATATGTTAAGCACCAATGAAACAAGTGAGGTTTACCTTACACTTGGATATGGCACTGTTGTAATGCAGAGATAATGTGTATAACTGAATATGTATAACTTGCAATTTTTGTAAAAGAGTAGTGTCTACAATACTTTGGCTTGAAAATGTCAGTGTATTATATTTCAGAATATAAACATGGAATTTAAATTTTAATTTATTATTGGTAATTACATTTTTTCAGATATTTGAACTAAAAGAAAAATAATCTCGTGGCAGACACATATAATTTTATTTTTATAAAATAATAGAGGAAATTAGAGGAAAGGAACAATGATGAACAGAGATGAAAACAATGGAATTACTACACTAAATGTGTTTTGAAACTATTTAGCACGAAATGAAGTGCCAAGGCGAGTGTAAACCTGTTGCATTGTAAATGTTAAGAAATGAAAATTAGATGAATTGCATTGAAAATTATCAGGGCCACTTTTTAGAGATATCAATTATGCAGCCAAAACAGAAGGTTCTGATATTGATTTTTCACATCCCTGCATCCTGGTAAACTAATAGATGTACCTTGCTGTTTTTTAATGAATTCCTAATTTAACTAACATGATTATGCATCCTTTTCCCGTGTCTATGGAAGAGTTTATGCAGTATACTAAATACTCAACTAGGCTCAGCAGCTGCGAGTTAAGATTAGTTTTTTTTTTTAGTTTTTTTAATAAATCTAACTTTCAATGGCATTTCATAAAAAATAGCCACATTTTCAAGAAAATTCACCATGTGGGATGCAATAAATTCCATTTTTTCTGTATAAAACCTGTTTTAAGCCACTCACAAAATTTAATAGCAAACGATAACCTTTCAAAACAGAACAGAATATCTAAAGATTTCCTATATGATAATGCCATCTGGGAAAGTGAACACTGATATTTTTTAAAGTGGGAGATTAGTCCTTTCTGTTTATCTAATAAAAGTTACCATCACTTCTTTCACCACCTTTCCTTGGAAATCAATACAGTTGTAAAGCCGCTCTGCATTTTTACCAGGTTCAATTAATTTTCTGTGTAACTTCCATGTTCCCCATCAGGGAATTCCTGCCTGAAGTTAAATTCATCTATTGTCTGTGAAGGGGAAACTGGAGAAAGATATCATAATCTGCATTATTTCTTTGGCAGAAGTGGTTTGAAAACTATTGTCTATTGAGATGTAGTTTTAATTTTCTCATTCAAACCTGAATTGAGAATTGTTGCCAGTAGATAAGTGGATCAGAATTATTACCAATCACATAAATACATAAAGTATTCTTTTCTTCCCTCTGCGCTTTTTTTTTTTTTTTTTTTTTTTCCTGCTGAAGCTACCGCTTAAGGATCTTGCTCCTTTTCAGAGAAGATCTGTTTTTGCCAGGTAAAGTATGTCTGGAAGAGTTTTCTAAAACCTGGCATAAACATACATAACTGAATTGACTTCTCAAGAGGCCATCACCACAATAGAGGAGCTAATCAAAGTGGCAAGTACATTAAAAACAGCAGAAATCAGTACACTGTCAATCTTGTCTGTGTTGTATTATTCTGTATACTTGCTGTTTTCCTTTGCTTCCAAGATCACTCAGCCATGTAATAAGTAGATTTTCAAAGTGTGGTACTTCCTTCATTAGTTGTTCTGTCATGCACTGGTGCAGTCAGAGATTTTCTACTTCTTCCTAAGCAGGCTACAGTGATAAAGTAAATGCAAGTTATTCATGCTACAACAAAAATATCTGCTGGGTTTGCTTATCCAGTGTTTTTCCTATGTTTTAAACATATTATCCTGTATTTTCAAATGCACCAGTTTTATGCGTCAAAACTGCCAGCACGTATGCCATAATTGATATTCTGACAAAAAAAAAAAAAAAACCCAAAAAAACCTGTGAAACTTACCAAGTTTCAGGCACTGATTGCTTTCATCAGTACAAGAGGCATTTCAGAAACAGTAAAAGAAATCACTGATTCTAATGAGATTTTGCTCTACATTTGTTTCACAAGAGGTATCATAACTGCAAGGTTCAGACATAACTCAAGTCTCATAACTGTGGTATGTCAAGCCTAAATTCATGACAGACCTAAGGAACAGCAGCACTACCAGAGCTGTAATCTAAAGCAAAAGTAATTAAAGGATATGGCTGGCTAACATGAGAAGATCAAATGCTGAAATCTTTGTCAGCCTTTTGGATTTCAAGCTTTCAACTTTAATCTCTTAGGAGAAAAACAGAAATAAATTATGCTGTTCTCTTCTGATTTTGGGAATGATATTTCCAATTCTCTGTCTAAGGAAGGGCAAGATAAGAATAAAAATCTAGAGTAAGCTAGGTAAGAAGATACAAAGC